CAGGCTTTACTGAGGGAGAGCAAAGATGCCTGTGGGAGAGAGGTGATCATGTGTGAACTCTCCCTGGAGTCTGTCGGGTTAAAACTAAACTAGGGAAAACCCACTATGTTAGATTTAACAGAGATGAGGCTCCTTCACCCGTGCCGTCCGTTACCCTTGCTTTTTACTGGTATCTCAGAGATGCTGGGAAGGAGATGCAGCTGTTTTGGTGGTGGAACTGTGGTAGCTTCTGTTGTCTAAAGCATTTGTGCAAAGTTTAGCCAACTTTTCAACTGCTCAAGAGCAATAGTTACAAAACAGAGCCCTGGGATTTTCTTACAGAAACCACAGTCTCACGGCGGATTTACTGTCTGCTCTTTTACATCATCCTGCACCCTTCTTCCAGATTTACAGGATGAGCTTTTAGATGAGAATACCAGATGAGCCTTAATGGTGAAAAAAAATCTTGCCTTAATTATAGTCAGAGTTCTAATTTGCAATGGTCTGTACTATCATTAGGACCACAATTGCATCTAAATTAATACTTGGTTGACAGCTGTGGCAAGTACAAAGATCATAATAAACACGGGAGTAGGACCTTTCTTATGCTTTTAGATGTGTACTCAAGTACATTGGTTAGTCTCTTGTTCCTTCTGTACTGTGTGTTATCTATTAATGAACTGGAAAATGGGTGATGTAGATTAAGCTGAGTTGGTGTAAATTAAACCTTTAATCTGGATAGTTACAAGTATAAACCAAGCAAGTCATTGCGGAGGACAGCAAATGAGATGGCGTCTCAAATGTAGCAGCTGACACTCAGAATCAGAGAATCATTAGGGTTGGAAAGAACCTCTGGAGATCATATAGTGCAACCCCCCTGCCAAGGCAGGGTCACCTAGAGCAGGCGACATGGGACAACGTTCAGGTGGGCTTTGAATGTCTCCAGAGAAAGAAACTCCACAACCACCCCGGGCAACTTGTTCCAGTGCTTTGCCACCCTTAACATAAAGAAATTCTTCCTTATGTTGAGGTGGAACTTCTTGTGTTTTAGTTTATGTCCATAAGAAAGAAATACTCGTTTCTCCTTTCGCCTAAAGACTTCTTAAGGACATT